CTATATCATTAGACATTAAAAAGCCCTCGGGGAACATGTCGTTATGGTAAACGGCTTCATCTCACGCTAAATATGTTTTGATCGCCTTGTGTGACATCCTCGACAACGAGAACATGAAGATCAAGGCATAATAAATCTCTCAATTGACTCCACCGGTACTTTTTAAATATGTACGTATATTTATAATTCTAAAAATTTAATATTTGTAAATGATATTATGTAACTGTATGTCAATGTGTATGAATGTTTCTCTTAAGGTTTTTAATCTTCCGTGATATTTGATATTATTGTAGTTGTAAATTTGCAATAATTCAGACTTTTTTTTTCAAATTCTGTCTATGCTAATAAAGGATTCTTATGCCTTATGTGAAAATGCTGCACACAGCCTCTTCTGCACATTGCGTACAAACCTGTTGATATTCAACCTGAGGTTTCATTCTTTCTCATTATGCCCTCTTTCTGTTAGAATAGTTTCTCTTCAATGGCGTCCTGGCAGCACATAACATCCTTTCATCACCAGTTCCTTTGTCAGAATTCTTCATGTTTTTGTTGCCATTGATGATACCTGCAACTTGTCCAAGAGTGCCTTAGCTTGCTGTATGCATCACTTTGTTCTTGAGTCGCTGAGATACACAGCTGAATTACTCGGAGTGACGTTCGCACGAGCACACTATTATAAAGCCCGTTATTACGTTCCACAATATCGATGAAAGCACTAAAAAGCGGAAAACCATAGACGTCAATCTAGAGATACAAGGAAGGCCACTGATTTTTTTTTGCGTTGCAAATTTTAGCAAACGCCTCCATTTCATGCTAAATATGCTTTGGTCGCCTTGTGTGATGACGTCCTCGGCAACGAAAACATGAACATATTAATCAATCTTTTGAATCTGGAGTGGGCTTTGTGAGAATGTTGCACACAAGCTTCTGTACTCCTTCACATTGCGTACACCTGTTGATATTCAACCTGTGAGGTTTCATTCTCTCTCATCATGCCCTCTTTCTCTTCGAATAGTTTCTCTTCAATGGCGTCCTGGCACAACATAACATCCTTTCATCGTCAGTTCCTTTGTCAGCATTCCTCATTTTTTGTTGCCATTGATGATACCTGCAACTTATCCAAGAGTGCTTGCTGTATGCATCACTTTGTTCTTGGGTCGCTGATACACAGCTGCATTACTCTGAGTGACGTTCGCACACTAAGCCAGTCATTACGCTGCATGCAATATCATGAAAGCACTAAGCAAAAGGGCAAAGCAATAGACGTCAATCTAGAAATGAAAGGAACGCCAATGCATTTCTTCGTTGCCTGAAGCTAAAACCCAAGGCGAAGATACTGATTTACTGAAGTAAAAGGCGAAGGCCTTAGCTTGGAGAATGTGTGGGCAGAACAAAGTCTTTTAGCCATCATATACGGCTATCATATGCGACCCACATTGAAGGACGTAACGGCACCTTCAATTTACTGTTTGGTCAGATTCTATGACTATATTCATCTCTATAAGATGCTAGTAATGCTACCAGATGGATGGTTGTGAAGTTGACGACAAATGATGACTTTAGAAATGCGACGCTGATGATACGGTTTACTTCAGCCAAAATATTCTTTATTCGTCCGAGTAATAATAATAATGATACATTCAGAACGCAAGGAATGCAATTATGAGAACGGCGTAAAATATATACATCTATATGGTGCTAGACTACAATCACAACTGTGTTTGTATCATACTCAACACATCATTCTGCAGGGAAAACCCTACAGAAAGCAAAATTACCCTATTTTTTTCGGAACGTACACCACTCTCACGGCGTGGTATTCAAACGGCATCAAGTGGGTATTTCATCAACAACACTATGACAGATGAAAAATGTTATCTCATCGCCAGCGACGAGTTACTGCAGCGTTTCGTAGGGTGTACAAGTATCTGAACGATCTTTGAGGTACAAGATGTCCGATCTATATCTGTTAGCTCTGTAAAAACAGTTTTGTAAAGGAAATCAAACTAGAGATCCAACTCTGATAATAAAAGGATCTGTCCCAGACTGGACTGGCTATTGCCATCAAAGATCAGACAGGTCTAGTATATAGCAATCTTTGAGATATGAAATGTTACAAAGAATACGACGGTCCTACTACATCATGTGATCAAATATTGTACAGCTATCTACATCAAGTCCCTATATGAAAAGAATTCTAAAAAGTAATCGCGATAGATATCAAACATCGACAAAAAAGGGCCTGTGCTAGATGTTCCTGGCTATACAGAATATTTGCCACAAAGTAGATTGAAGAACAGCTAGCTTAGGCTCAAACGCAGCATGATGACTTGCGATCGATCTAGGCCTAGAGCAAAATGCAGCTTGAAGATCATTTATTGGTCTATTAAAACACTGATTTAGTTTTGGGATGGTTTTGGTGATAACGTCTGGTTTGAAATTTTACTGACTGTGAAGTTTGGTCTGATGAGACTAGATCTTCAATCACGAGTGGGTATCTCAAGCTTCATTGGTGAAAACTTTCTTTGGCAATCAAACTTTCTGAAGCGGAGAAAGCCTGATAGCCAAGCTTTCTTCAATGGCCCTTGTGTCAAAGGAAATACTTACATCAGTCATAACGTTACACATTATGGCATCGTAACGAACGCAATGTATCACAACCGAAAAGGCATCAATATAACTAGTAACTGCACCACATCAGTAGTGGGTATCTCAAGCTGCATTGGTGAAAACTTTCTTTTGCAATCAAACTTCCTGAAGCGGAGAAAGCCTGATAGCCAAGCTCTCTTCAATGGCCCTTGTGTCAAAGGAAATACTTACATCAGTCATAACGTTACACATTATGGCATCGTAACGAACGCAATGCATCACAACCGAAAAGGCATCAATATAACTTTGTAACTACACCACATAGAACCCTACGATAACAAATGAATCCCATCTGACACTTTGATACAGCTCCAACTACTAGGTCCCTTCTCTAATTAAAGCACCGGGGATATGTGCCATTTGTCTGCAAAATTGCACTCATGAATCATATGTCCTTATATGCCGTTGCGAACGTATGATGTTGGCATTGGCGCTATCTTCTTGTGTCTGTCTGGCATCCATCAAAATCCTAATTTCAGAATCCCCAGGTACGTTCAAGTAGTACTTAACGACCATGACGACACAGACCAGGCGTATTGGCTGGATTTATCACTATGATGTTCTCTGGCAGAATGTCAATTCTGATTGTATCAGGTTTCTTGGCAGCCATGTAGACAAGAGGGCTGTTATTGCGGCTAACACCCTGCCCATAAGTCTTAGCATGTGCCAATAAGTGTCAGTAAGTTTAACAACAGCTTCCATTTAATCAGTCTAAAGGATTATCTACAAGAATCTGCACTTGGCAATGGCATGAGGCACTCTCAGACGTTTCAGTCACCCCATCACAGAATGAGTAAGCACAGCAAGGCACAAACAGATGAAACCAAACTTACTATCACTGAGTACGAGGTGTTAAACATGTGACAAATATGATGACAGTTCTCTAGCCAGCTCATTTTTTTACCTTCAGCCCAGGTTCATGACCGGATTTGGGGGGAGAGTGATCGCAATTTAGGGCGTCCAGGGACAAATTTTTCACTTTCAAGCCTTTAAAAACGCTATTTCCCACATTTTAAGAGGCAAATCATGGAGTTGAGGGTGGTTGTCGATGATCCTTCAAAGGATGTTTTTATATTTTTACACAAGATATTTGTCAAGGTTTTAATTTTTTCCGTCACATGCCACAAAGTTCTTGCCATTGACGGACAAAAACTGGTGCTGGCTAGAGCCCTGATACATCCAAGTATTATATTTCTATTTACAAAGGTATTCACGGATCGGAAAGGGAAAGAAATGAGCGCATTTAACCTCTGAAGTTATTATAGTTAACCCTTGGTTTAAAATCAATTTCAATCGATAGAATCGTCTGCCCAAATTGAAAACGTCTAAGGCTCTGCAGCATATTGATTTTGGCACTTAGTAGCGACTTCCGTCAACATTTAATTTTTTAAGCTCTCAAAAAGATTCGAATCACCTATTTTTTGTAAAACGACCAATTTTGGTCGTTTAACTCCAACAGCAGAAAAATATGCTACGATATGAATTAGTATAATGGCAGTAGATGTTACAGTAGTTCCTAGCAGCTGCACACTTCATAGAAGGTTGCGTTACATATTGAATTGTATGGGACCATTGGAGAGAATCTACTGGCCTCCGTAGCAGGCTTATAGAACTGGAGGTTTGGTGGTCTTCGGCTGTTTTCTGATTAGCCCAGTTCAAAAAACGGGGGTAATTCAACCACGCCAGTTATGTCTATACGCAATCAGAAAATAACACATAAAAGCTCCCAAACCCCCAGTTTTTTGCATGCTATGGAGGCTAATCATCTACCAGGCTTCGGAAGCGAATGAAAAGAGTAGAAATTGGCCAGATAGACAGATAATATGTCGGGGAGAGTTGGTCCCCTAATAAGGAGTACATTTGCCGTCTTGCGAATCTACTCCTAAGCGGACTAACTCCCCTGACATATTATCTGTCTATTTGGCCAATTTCTACTCTTTTAAGCCGCTTCCAAAGCCTGGTAGAAGCTAACCGTTGAGGTCGCGAAGCGACCGGAACATACATGTATGAAAGATTCCTTAACTGGTTTCGATTGCTTGAGCTCCAAGGTCCCTTACTCATCTAGGTATTCCAATGATCTCAATAAACAGTGATCTTTGGCTATTGCAATTGGCGCGAGCAAGCCAGAGATTCCTGACGGTGATGATATTTGAATGATAGTTATGTATATCTTAATATTGGTGTAAGTGCTATGTATCGATATAAACAGGTTATTCTCTTGTTTTCTGTGGCTACATGGTCCAGATTGTATGAGTAGTCACCGGTGTATTTCTGTATATATAATCTTCAACAGTATCGTCTATAACTCTGCATTTACACTGATTCTTGCCTTCACATATTAAAATTTATAAAAGAATACTTTCTTTTCTTCCAGTATTTTTACAGCTCTGATTCATTCCAAGTTGAAAGTTCGCGTCGAGGCTCTCACGTCGGCATGTTCCACATCTGCCATGCCTTCTGGCAGAGGACTAGGATTGCAAATGTCACGATGTGCCGTACGAGTCAATGCGGACCGCTGTGAGGGTTGTTCGTGATGCGGCGGTTCTTCAGGTCGATGAAGAGCTGCTTCATGTGCTGGCGGACGGCGCTGTTCATGCCGATGTAGATGATGGTGTTGACCATCCCCTGCGCCATGCCCAGAGCCTCCACGATGAAGAACAGGGTGGTGTTGTAGCGGGAGACCAGGAGGAGGTGCGGGGCGAAGTCGCGGACGATGGCGTAGACGTGGTAAGGCAGCCAGCAGACGATGAAGCACAGCAGGGTGACGATGAGCAGTTGGATGACCTTCTCCCGGTGATGCTGTCTCTCCGGCGGCAGGTGCCCTGCCTGGCCCGTCTGCGGGCGGTACCAGATGTGCAGGGCGATGCGGATGTAGCAGAAGCACATGATGATCACAGGCAGGACGAACTCCAGCAGGAACAGCAGCATGTAGTATGCCTTGTACCTGGGGAGAAACCACATGTTTTACTTTTGATAAAGAAAATTAAACTGTTCTCCAACTCACCAGAAATTTTCGATTGAATCGCTCAGTCTTTTTTTATTTGCAATTCGACATGGATAATACAGGACATGGTGGTGAGGTACTCTAGCTGTAGCTAATTTTAACCTCACCACCAGACATACAGGTACATACAGCTATCGACAAAATATATGACAAAACAACAGTGAACAGCAAATGGGTGGAAATGGCAACACGGTGATTATGGTAATGAATGATAATTAATGGTAAGGAAGAACATGTTTTGTAGGCGTAAATCTAATACAAACCGTTTAGTATCAATAACGTAAGTTTGGGTGATTGTCAAAATGTCATAGTTTGTATCTGGGTGTAAATCGGGTGATCCTCTAAGTAAAATGTTATTGTTCGGACATGTTATGTACATCAAAGATAGAGCCTACCAAGTTCTGTAAATTGGCCTTATTTCTTTCAATTTGTTAAGTGATTTAAGTGACCGAAGTTAAAGCATCACATGATGAGAGTACGTTAAAGGTTAAAGTTTTCATTGCACGTAATCTTCCATAACAACATTTATTGCCGCCAAATCATTACATGTATGACGAGCAGTTTATGTCGACACTACGTATCATTGTACATGTGTTGCAGTAGATAACCATTGAAAATGACTGCGTGAAGTGCTAAAATTGCCAGGCAACTTCTCTGAATCGATTAAACAAGAGGAAGGATCCTTCGTTTAGTCATTGAAGGCTATAGTTGAATACACAGAAACGATTACGTTTGGTCATTGAACGCTATAGGTAAATATGCCGAAACGATGTCTCATAAAAGTAGTCTTCCACATTTTAATATCAAAGCTTCTTCTGCACAAGAAAGTCACAAGAGTCTGCCAAATATACAAAGGATACAGAAGATACTCAACCGGCCCAACTTTCGAGAGCAGCTGACAACAGTAAACAACTCCTAGCTTTGACCTCAATTTCTCTGGCCATGCCAGACCTAACCACTCAGATATGTCATTACGCCCACTAAACTGGTGAAATGAACAGAACTTGGCCAAAGTAGGAAAGTTCAAACATCGCCTGTTCTGTCTAGTCGCATCTCTGGGCTGGTGCCACAATCGATTGCCTGCACCTTCTCGATCGCATACAAAAGAGAATTTGCGTGGCCATAGGTTATCATCTGGCCTCCAAGTTAGACCCCCTTTCCCATAGACGAAATGTTGCCTCTCTATCTCTCTTTTACAGATATTTTCATGGCCATTGCTCTGCAGAACTCACCCAACTAGTTCCACCACTCAGAACTTTTAAGCGATCTACTAGGTTCTCCACTAGCTCACACAACTTCATCGTCCAAATTCCTTGTTCGAAATCATTTTACAGTGACAGTTTCTTTCCCCGTACGACCAAGCTTTGCAATTCCCTCCCTGACAAGTGTTTCCCACCAACCTGCAATCTACAGGCTTTCAAATCAAACGTTCACCGCCGTCTCTTGACATAGCCATGTTTCTCTCATTTTCTAGTTCAATGCCGATCGAGAAGTGGTCGTATAGGCCTTGTATTGAACCATGCCGTTAAAAAAGAGTCCAAACTGGACCAGAATGTTGAAGTAGAAAACTATTTTTTTTCAAAAATATTAACCAAGGACTAAAGCCGTGTTCCCCTTATTTTGGGCCTTCGCTGTGCATCTCGGGTAACGTTAGCCCCAGAGCAGCAGGAAACTGTAATTTATTCTCCACTTCGGCGCCTAGAAAATGATTTTCTTTATGGTTTGTAGTTTACATCTCACACAGAGATGTGTGAGAGATTTACATCTCACACCGTAAACGTTGTCAGATGTAAATCTTTAGATTAAGACAGTGACGATAGAGGCGGCATGTATCACACCATCGAGTACACCACTCAACGGCACTTAAGTTAAGGCCGACTGGGGGGCGACTGCGATTAGCCCTTGAAATTGGAATAGGCAATGAGATGTTATCGTCTGTGAATAGACACAGATAAACGACACGTGTAATTTGCGACGATAGCTGCCTCGCACAAGTAATTACCAGCAATTTGAAGAGAAGTCCCAAATGCAGGAACAGCAATCTTCATGACATATCACATTAGCACGCAGTGCATCGTAGTAGAAGGCCATGGAAAGCCAATTCCCTAAAACATTTTGAGTGAAAACTTTCTGCAGTCTTGCTTTTACAGGCTATTTGTGAAACGGTAGTTACGAAGTGCATCACTGTACAAGGCCAAGGAAAGCCCATTCCCTAAAACATGTTGAGGGAAAACTTTCTGCAAACTTTCTGTAGTCTTCCTTTTGTAGGCTCTTTTTGGTTACGAACACATCGGAGACGTTGGACAACCAACAGGATGATGTACACAAAACGATAAGAAATGGTACGTCGGTGAAGGTTAGACATCCAGGAACATAAGATACGGCAAAAACACAGTTACTCATGCAACTGGATATGATTACTGTTACTCAAGCAACTGGATATGATTTTGGAAACGGTCAGACTGGCTGCATCAGGTAGCATCCACCACCTGTCTGCACACGTTTTCTAGTGTCACCGACGAAATGTAGTGGTTTTTTTATTATTATTATTATTTTATTTGCAAATTCGACATGGACAATACAAGACATGGTGATGAGGTACTCTAGCTATAGCTAATTTTAGCCTCACCACCAAACATAGAATACAATTACAGTACATAACAAAAAACAGAGAACAGCAAGTGGGTGGGATGGGTCGTTAAGTAGTACAAAGAAATGTTTAGTAGGCTATATAATAAATCAATCAAGTACAAACCGTTTGGTGTCAACAATATAAGTTTGAGTGGTTAGCAAGATATTACAGTTTGTATCATAGTATAAATCAGGTAATCCTCTAAGTAAAATATCACATAGTGGTTGCTACCTGAAACGCCTGACCGTTTCCAAAATCATATCCAGTTGCTTGAGTAACTTTTTTTTTCGGCGGAGAAGAAATGATCTTTGATAGCTTACATCGGTTCCAGTCGAGTCGGCCAGATCTGTCCGCAGAAGTTGGATCCGGTGGTGGTGTAGGGGAACGCTCGGGAGTAGACGGCGACGGGCACGGCCAGCAGGAGGGACACCAGCCACACCAGCAGGATCTGCACCACCAGGAACTTCCGAGACCCGCTGGTGTCTTGGTTCGGCAGATGAGTGAACATCGTCCTGTACCTGTTGTAAGCCAGATAGGGAAAACTTTCAAGATGCTATCAACTGCTTAATATGCGTGCTGCGTCTTGTCTTGTCACGTTATCTGTGTGCGTCTAAGATCTATACTTAGGATGCGGTAAATGCTGACTTAGTGGAGATATAGTGGAGGTACGTTATGGGAAGCCAGAGTACCAAAAGGCCATAATGTGTAAAAACGGGTCAAAGAAGACCATTATTATCCTTCCTCTCTTTGGTACGTTTTGCGGATCCAAGTGTAGTTATCTGATGGCGTTCTTCCTGTTTTCCTTCTACACTAAATGCTAAAAGTCACGGCAGCCAGTTGCCTACGTGCGAGATGCAGCGGATTCTTGGAAGCACAGTCGAGGTACGGGCGTGCTCTGCAAGCAAATCACGTCGCCACGTTTGAATATTCCCTTTAGTGTGAACCAGACCAGAACGGTGTCACTTTTGTAAGACCCCCATGGCCCAGACGGGTGTGGGTACAGTACGAGAAATACAACTTTGCTTTCCTCCAGGGCCTATACTGTTGCGACATTTGTCAATGACGACAGTATTTGTAGGATTACTTTTTAGACATACTGGTAACTAGAAAGGCCGACATTTGATTTGGAGCAAATGTAGCGGATGGCTTCACCACATTTTACTACATGGCAGGGAAAGAAGGAAAAATACAAGGGAAAACAATTCTTTAAATTGATATATCTATAGTATGAAATGACAACAGTTGGATAGCTATACCTACATTATTGGGTAGGATTTCTAAATTGCATAGTGCATACTGTTGATTTTCAACATAAAAAAAGCGTTTATGCCCCACATTCCAATGCTGGAGAAAGAAAGCTTGACCTACCAAAACACTTGAATGCAGTTCATAATGTCAACATGGCATGGCTTTGTAGAGGTGTTAATTGAGTTAACCCAATCAAATCCCAACAGCCAATCAGCAAGAAGAAATATAGGAAAGCTGCATGCCTATTGGTTGCTTGCTCTGCATGACATTCTGATGACTTAAGCCTAAATATGGTAACACACTGCTATAATACATTTTCTATAACACAGCCAAAAAGCTCAAATAAAAACCATTCTAAAAGCCTGTATCATAACAATTAAAAAAAAAACCGCCTGGGGGTATTTACCCACTCTACCTTCATGCCAAATTTTATGTTATTTGGCCCAAAAATGAAGGAATTGAATCAATTTAAAGGAATGACAGGAAAATGAGGAGAAGGAGAAGAGGAGGAGGAGGAGAAGAAACATGAGGAAAAACAATATGTCTTCACGACATAGTGGTGAAGCCATAATGAATTGGAGAGGCTGGGTAGATTCTGCCATCCAAAGTTACTCGTAATAACGGCGACACACTTAGTTCTCATTGACGCTTTCCTCTCGGTGGTGGCTTTACCTTTAAAAAGCATGCTACTCAAATCTAACCATTGCACTTCATGATTAACCTAATTATAATCAAGTCATAATTCCCTTAGCTGCAGGCGCTAATGATAAATCACTGGGATTACAACAAGCATATAATGAGACCTTGCCCTTAATCCCGGATTACGTTAAGGGGGTAATTCCTTTGCTTTTTCGTGACAGCTTAGTTTCCTACAATTATTAACTAATGAGGAAATAACAGTATTGACAATGCGATGTGATTAGAACTCCCGGTAGGCAACTTATCTTTACCGACAGCCGTGTTCTGTGATGTCTCTATCAAATGTATAACCAGCACTCTGTACTTAGTTGTGATTAAAAGTCTTTTCAATTCTGAAGCTAATTTGACATGGCATGACTTCCTTCAACGACGTTGATTCACAGTCCTCGAAGCAGCCTATAACCGTGCCAATTAGCATTAACTCAAAGAGCCTGTCCCAATCCCGAGTTCTTTAATAATAACTGCCACTTGTATTCCCTCACGTCAACAAGAGCTGAAACTACGGCACGCATTCTATGAATTACGAACTTGAGCTCAGCTAGAAATATTCCTCGTGTAACGTAATTGCCCTTAGGCGAAGTATGTAAGACAAGATGTTACAGGAAGTATATGCATATCTGTCATGAGTGACGATAGACATGCTTCAGTGATTCAAATATTGGTGAGGCAGCAAACGAATACATGGTGCTCAGCCCGTCTACAATGCAATGGGCCTCTTGGGTACAAACACTTACACTGTACGTAGTTCTGCAGGGCGTATTGTAAAATCAATGAACACGTAGTTTTTGCACGAAGCACGATCGACCTTTTGTAAACTATTACATTCAGCAAAGGGAGGTGTGAGCGAGAAATGCTCGCTGGCCAGAGGCCATCATCACTTTTACAGCTGAAGTGCGAAACTATTGCATTTTTCCCACTTCAGAGAGGATAGAAGTTACACCTAGATCTTATCGCGTCAAACCCTAGAGGTAATTGAACCATGCCCCAAACAACATGATAGCCCTACGATCTATCTTGCTGTGTGCCCTGGCAATTCATCCATTCCTTGGGATCAGCATATCTATCAGGTAAAGATATGTTCAAAGAAGTGTAAAGCCTGACGGAGCAGTGTATTTTCGCTAAGGCGTGTGCCACAGAGGTAGTGTACAAGTTATGTACTACTTTGGCTTTCGTGCTTTTAAAAGTATTTTGTCTGAGACAAAATAATTTTAAACCTACATTTAGATTTGATAACAAATTGTCATGCTTGTAGCATAATCATCATTGCAACGGATTTTTTGCCACATTGCTACAGTCGTCGTTTTGGTACATTGTAGAATTATTTTCCTTACATCATCGGGGAATACCCCTAATTCCGCTACATGGTAGAGGAAATTTTGGCTGAAGCCTTTTCGCTACATGTTAGAAGTCTTCTGGCTACATGTCAGAATTCTTTTGGCTACATGGCAGACGTCTTTGGCTACATCGCAGAAGTCTTTTAGCTACATGGCAGAATTCTTTTGGCTACATCGTTAGAAGTTGTTTTTTTTGCAACATGGCAGAAGTCATTTTGCTACATGGGAGGAGTCCCTTGGCTACATGGTAGAAGTCTTTTGGGTACATGGCAGGTCTTTTAGCTCCATGGTAGAAGTCTTTTCGCTACATGGCAGAAGTCTTTTGGCAACATGGTACATGTAGAAGTCCTTTTGCTACATGGCATAAGTCTTCTGGTTACATGATAAGGCTTTTTGCTACACGGCAGAAGTCTTTTCGCTACATTGTAGAAGTGTTTTTGCTACATGTACATGGCAGAAGTTTTTACATTATATGGCAGTAGTCCTTTCGCTATATGGTAGAGGAATTTACGTTACATGAAAGAAGTCTTTTCGTCACATGGCAGAAGTCGTTTACTACATGGTACAAGACCCTTCGCTACATGGCAGAAGTTTGCTGGCTACATGGCAGAAACTTTTCTCTACACGGCCTTTTCGCTACATGGCAAAAGTCGTTTGCTACATGGTAGTCGTGTCTCATCCTTTAATGTATGTAATGATTATATAACCTCCAATAGCGGAAGCGTAACCTTTGTTCAATTTCTCCTGTCCTAAGTTCACTATGATGGATTACTTGTACATTTCTTAAAGTTAGCCTGGGGACATGAATGTGCAAATATAGATTGTTATTAGTCAATAGCTCCCGTGGGTAGCAGTTCACTGTAAAACCAATATACGAGTCACTCGAGTGTTTCTCACCTCGCTCTTAAGGCTGGGGTATTCACTCTATCATCATTCTCTACACGCCTTTAATACGTACATATGACAGGGAATTAAATGATGATCGGCGTGTGTGAATAATGGAAACATACAGCGGGAAGGACAGCCGGCTACTAATGAAAAGGTGAAGGTAGTTTCGAGCAACAACTGTAAAGGTTGAATATGTAATACGCGCGTGCCTGCTGTGTAAGGCCATGTTGATTTGTTATGGATGACATCCGCGCGCGCATGAATTTTCGGCCGTTTCCAAAAAGAAAAAGTTTTCAACCATACTGTAAATCGTACAAAACAGTTGCAAAATGAGCAAAAATATACCATAAGTTACAAAAAAATTAATAAAAACTATACCAATGTCGTAGAATGCCAAAAACAGTACAAACGTACAAAACAGTTGCAAAATGAGCAAAAATATACCATAAGTTACAAAAAAATTAATAAAAACTATACCAATGTCGTAGAATGCCAAAATCAAACGAAAAAAGACGAAATTGTAAAGAAATGAACTTGAAGACTAGATTATTCGCCAAACCATATTCTGTGCCATTTGCTCAACCCTCATGACCACGTAGATTTCATAATGAAAAGAACTTTTTTTTTGCAAAACTTTTTTTTTATTCGCACGCGCGCATCAGTTTTTGGGCTCCCGGAGGATGTCATCCATATAATCAAATCAACATGGCCTAAGTAATGTCATGTCATAACACAACGCGTACATGTTAAGTTAGTAGATGCCATACTTTGTACACTGTACAATTGTTGCGCAATAAAGTTATTTCATAAGCGACATCTTCTGCGTAAACATATACACCCCTCATTACATACGATTAAGTCATGTCGCAGGCTTGTGTATGATTTTCATGTAGCTGGGCCGCACGGTTGCGGGTTCGAATTTCGGTCTACTTACTGAATCAAGATATGCACTTTTTTGGGGTGATGCAGTATTTCATTGGGGACGGTAAACCACAGGTCCCGTGTTGAGGAGAGCCACACCACTAGCTCGTTAAAGAACCCACCACACTTATCGATTACATACGAATCTACTAATGAATAAACTCCCTGGCACTATGATAACTACCAACACAGTACAAATAGCTTTCATAATAATACGAACCTACTGTGCTGCAGTTTGAGGCTGTTTATCGGTTCCAGGAAAACAGTTCTGCTGATACTTTCACCGATATCAGTCCCCAACTTGAGTTCGTGCTATCGGCAAGAGACGCAGAGCACAGTCATCATCTCACCTTGTAATCTCTCCCTCCAGACGGCCATATATTATTAATATCGATTCAAAGTCTCATGGTACTTTTCTAGTCACTGAT